CTTAAAAGACCGGTAAAAACGCATCGATACTTGACATCATAGGTCTTGAATATTAATATTAATTCATTAGTCACAAATTCAAAACATTGTGATAGTGATGTGTCGATCTGTGGAAGGCACGGAGATGGGATATGTTCTGACGTCTTATGTAGGGTATATACTGTTATGATGCAAAGAGTGGGAAAGCAACGATCGAAGGAATCAAACTACTGTCATTTTTATCGCTCTCTTTTGAGACTACTCAACGCTTATGGCCATGAATCAGAGTACGAGCCTCGATGAACTGAAGGCAGATAGTTCCGAATAAAAAGCGCTGCTCATCAATCATTGCCTTTTCATCATAGGTGGCAGGTAGTCATATAAAATCCTACTGGCATTTCATGCCTTTAACCAGAACACACCGTATAGATGCCAACCCACCTCATAATTTTAATACCATGTCAAACACTTAAGAAGAAAACCTACCAGCCTGATGATCGGTCCGCAACTCACTCATGTAACATATTGCCACCGGAACAGGGGGCGTTTTGCCGAACAGTGAATAAATCAGGCACTCGGTATTGTGAATTTTGGTGATCCAGTCTTCGTTTGCGTCGCACACTTTTCTTACTTCGGTTTGCTCACCGGAAGCCTTCGACAAGATCACGTCGGCCAGTTTCAAGTACGGGACTTTGAATATCAGGGTTTTCGGGATGTCGTCGTCCGTCAGCCCGGTACCGTTGACGCTCCATACCAAGTTGAAGCGAACGATAGAGCTCAAAAATCCTTTACCCCCGGCTACGGCGACTCCGTCGGCACTGATCAACGTCAGGTTTTTTCCGTAGTACTTATTTACCGCTTCCTGAAGCACCAGGCGAATACGTTGGTCGTCGTCTGTCATCTGGAGACTCAACGGTGAAAGAAACTCGGTTGGCTTGATACGAAACGAATACAGGTCTACGTGGGAAAAATCGATCAGAAAACCTAGCGAATGCGTGTATATCACAGCCACGACAACCAGTTTCTTGCCCCTGGCAGATTTTGTGCGCATTATCTATCGATCGTGCGCGACTTTGTTTACTCAACTGTACTTCTATAGTACCCGCGCAGATTTCGGGCATTGGTCATTTCCTTGATACTCAGGATTGATTGGTAGATTTTGGAATAAATTAGTATGACATCAATGTAGTAACAAATTATTAATGATTAGTAATTGTACAAGATATAACCGTGTTTACTTTACGCTGTTTAAAGGAACGAAAAATTCCTGGTTTCACTAGCCGCATCGGTAATGCTAGTGCACAAAAACCAGACGAAGGACATTTGAAGAACTAGAGACCGATCAGTTTGTTTCTAACCATCTAAACACTTTCATGAAGGTGTTACCTGATACTATTCAAGGAAAACAGTACCCTGCACAACCAAAGGAGAAGGCAAGATTTACTAATGATTTGATGCGAAGGATCATCTTCAAATGATGCAACGAGTAATTCAGACAAACAACGAATACCAGGTTCCTCTTTCCGTGTGGTTCGTCGATTTCGACAAGCTTTCAATCCAGTCTACATCAGGTCATTTGGACTCCTCGAAGAACCATGGGCTACAAGAATACAGCTGCGAATGCATAACCAAGGCGGATGGTGGGGAAGAGCGTTCGGTGAGGGTTATACAATAACAGCAAAGTTATTCACAGCACCCTAGAACAGGTTTGTCAGAACACGCCATAGGAAAAATCAGGGGCTGAAAGTAAATGGCAAATGCTCAATCCACCTGCGGCTTGCGGATGATATTCTGACCCTCTCAAGAACACTAGAAAAGTCTGAGTTGTACAACGCAAGCATTAAGGCAGAGCCGAAAATAAAACCAAACAGATCATCCCTCGACCTCAACGTATCTAGATTCGAAGCGACTGGAGGAATAAAGAACTAGAAACATGAATAAGTTAAAATGGTAAAGTTCTTACCCATGCCTCGCATAAAATGTCACTATCAGGTTCCGAGAATGTATTTTTGAATTGGCTGATAGCGCTTATGCTGCAATAACATTCTTGACAACAGGCAACACAATACAGCTTTGAATGAATGTTTGATCACTCATGCGTGAATTCCTCTTCAGTTCATTTTAAAACATGTTTTCTTGCTTACATGCTCCACAGTGATTGGTTATCTCGACGAGACTTTGCATTTTGCTAGTGTATGTTTCAAGATATAGAGATTATGCTTTCGAATACTTTCATGTCTGATAACGAACGCTTGAACTGTAAGCTCTCTGCAATCCATCGCCTTCGTTGCGAGTGGCCAGAAATCCAAATACCGAAAGCGCTGATGCGGCTAAGTACAGTCGCGAGCATACGGTACTTTTGAGCTGCCCACTGGTCACAACAGTCGAAGCCTGCCATGAACCATTCGGTGGCTAGAGCTCCGGTTGCCCTTGCGAATTTGCGGCCATCTATTGGTCAAAATGATGTTTCAACTACCGGTTTCGACGGCAGGGTTAACGTCCATCGTCATATTAGCCCAAAAAGAATGCAAGTGAAAACTGCTTCCGTTGTGCCGTTCATTCTCTGAATACAGAGGGATGCCTCACAGAAATGACGGACTGAAGATGCGATGAACGATGATTGATGCACTGTATCCGAATGTGGCTCAAATATCCTTCAGTATATGGTGGTTCATAGCAAAATTCTGGAAAACTGTATCTGATGACGTTGTCTAAACTGATGCATCACGTTCTCATCCCACTGGACAAATATGATATCGGCCATTTGTCAT